CAAATACTGCCTCCATCAAAGCTTCATTTCCACACTATGGCTTGAGTATACCATTCCTAAAACTGAGCAAAGACAGGTTTCTTTTTTTGAAAAGATGTCCTCACTAACTTTACAATGGTGTCTAACTTTACAGTGTAGCATCTCAATATGTTCAGAATGCATTTCCATAAATGAGGGAAGAGCATCATAATGCAGTGAACAGGTGCCATTTTCTGCACCCCCACTTATGTGCACTTACCTTAGATTATGAATCTCAGTATGTCATGAAGCCCACTTCCTGAATGGGGGGCAGCAAGGTGTATATATAAACTGATGGGGGTGGGGCAAGTGTGAGGAGTGACTTGGAGGAGACACATGATGGGGAGACACATAGGGATACTTGGAAGAGGAATTTGGAATAAAGATGTTGGTGAGAGACATGGTTCTCATGGTTCTCTCCTGGTTCTTGGCAGAGACAATGACAGCTGTTATCTCGATGGGATGTATTTCCAATTTTGAGTCTCTTCATCTGCCCCTGGGTTCAGCCTAACCCCTTTTTGTGGTTCTTTGACAAAAGCTGTCCTAGATTGGTGGCTTCACTGGCAATGCTTCAGTCTGAGCCTATTTGGCTGAACATTTGCTCACAAGGGGATAGGTAATTTCAGGAGTTGTATTAGCAAGCTGTTCATTTAAAGTATTTTCTTCTCTCTCTCTCTCTCTGCATACCAATTCTGTTAAGAAACTTTTCACACTAAGATTCAGCTACATTTGCCTTTGTGAAGATCACTAAATTCCTTTTAGAGTCTGCACCGTTTAACAGTTTGGGGTTCCTAGGTACCCCTTGGCTGCATACTAATAAATCCAGACCCTCAAAGTGCTAGTTCACTCCAGTAGAAGCCCTGAGGGCAGATTAGTTAACATTTAATATATATTCTTCATAAATCCATACTCAGGGAACAGTTAATTAGCATAAATTTTCTAACCAGAGATCATACCACCGAGGTGGTTAATACAGAGTCTTCCAATATACCTATCTATACTTGCCCCCAAGGTTTAATAAATAACGTAAGTTGTACTAGAGATCACTTAGAATTGAGAAAATGGATGATAGCCAAGTAATAGGGTAGGATAGAAATTCTTTTTCTCACTCTACTGCCTTTGTGCCATTTGGGCATGCTCAGTACAAGGAAAAACTGTGGACGTTTCAAGTAGGATGAGATAGAGCCCAGGGATTTAAAGTTTCATCTGATTAAAAAAAAATTGTATTTATCCATACAGAACTGAGGTACAAGCCAGAGATGCGGAGGGTGAGAGTCTTCACCAAAGACAGAGTGGGGAGCAGAACAGGCCGACTGATGAAGTACACTGCTGAGGGGAGCAGTGGGCGGGTCAGGAGAGGTCTGCTGCGCCATGTGGGTCACTTCCCTGGTAAGGAGCAAACTTGCACTGAAGTGGCTGTGGCTAGCTTGCAGTGCTGTGTCCCAACCCGTTGCACTACCAGAGAGGGCCCTCATTTTTTTTTAAATAAATATACTTATTTTGTTAAATCATTCTTCATTTTGTGCATTTTTTTTTTAATTTCATTTTTAACCCCGGCGGACTTCCCACAACCAATTTGCTCCTATGCCATCACCGTAGTTAAAGTTTCATCATTCAATGGATGGAATTAAAGTTTCATCTATGAGAAAGTCTGAGGAAGAAGTGAGGTCAGAAAGGCAGGAAGCACAGGGACTGAAAGACGCTACAGCTGGCCAGCTGTCTGAGTGGGTGTTGCTCAGGGAGCCGCTGGGAGGCCCCTTCCCAAGCCTCCTGTCTGCTGTGTACAGAAAGGCATGCCTTTTGGGCCGATTTATTACACTCTCTCAACTTCTCAGTCCCACAGGAGGGCTTCGCATTGGGCTTCACATTGATGGAATGTGAACCAGAACCCCTATAAGCAGGAGAGTTATCAGCATGGAGTTTCGTGGTCTCACTTAAGAAAAAAGATGCAGAGAGGATTTTGATGGTTAACAAGCAGAATCAAGTATTGGGTGTAAGAATCTGACCAGCCTCACATCCTTCTGAAGTCGCATCTGAGGTCTGACCCAAACCTCTCCAGAAGCATTTTGTTGCTCAGAAAATGGCCTACATTTGCACTGTTTAGCATGGTAGCCACTAGTTCCATGTAGCTCACAGGCACTGGGATGTAGCTCGTGCAAACTGAGGGTGTGATGTTTAGTTTGATTCAACTTTAACTAACTTAAATAGTTATAAGTTAGTGAATGGCTACTGCATTGGGAAGTGTGGGTCTAGAACCCTCTTTGGCCCTGTGCTATCTCTCCTGTTCCATTAAATGGGAGATACTGTTGCCTTTCTGACCTGAGTACCCTGATCTGCCATCTGCATATCTGTGGCATTTATGGTGTTGAAGGCTCTGGTTAGAATGATGATGTGATGGAGATGGGGTGGGAAAGTGGGGGTCTCTGAGTTAGAGAATTGGTGGCTTTTGTGCCTAATACACATTTCTTATGTATTTGGGTGAGTGGGTCCGAGACCTACTTTTCCCCTTAACATCTAGTAGTAGAAGTGAAGCCACCAATATTTACCAACAGAACCTAATAATTGTGACAGCCAATTAGCCTGATTAGTTTATAGCAGACACTTTTCTCCCAGAAATGTTTCTCAAACCTTCGGGATCTGCAGTATCTTTGCTGCTAGCAAACATTAGCAGATGACAAAACAAACAAAGACTACATTAATATTAATAGAAAAATCCAGATAAGCAAGTTGGTCTCCACTGAACAACTTTCTTCACTGTGAGCATATGCTCACAGAGTGTTTATTAAATAAACTAATAATTCATGCACACAATGCAAATTTCCTGTGTATAAAGTGTTTATAGGGAGAAGAGAATGGTGAGGAAAGTGTTTATTATTTACATGGTTAAAGTAACCTTTCAGAGTGTTGTAAAAGCATCCCAGTATCTTACAAATGATCCCCAATAGCCAAGTGTTCTATAACTCAGAGAAGCACAGAACTTCTTGCCCTCTGTATATACATAAAAGCATTAAAAGATCCTCTCTGTGTGTCTCTCAACGTGTTGGCATAATACTGGATCAAAGTAGATGCTGTCATGAACACATGACCCAATTTTTCATACTGAACACATTAGCAAATGAGACTGTTTATCATTTGTTTGCCTATCAGGTAAAGAAAAAATTAATGATTTAAATGCTCCTATTTTTCTTTTCGTTTAATACCTGAGCATTTTTTGTCTAACTACCTTTTTGCATTTGTCATGCTTAAGTATTGCTCACAAGATCTCAAAAAGTAGTGCTGCTTATTATTTTAAGAATTGAGTATCATAGAAATGATACCACATTATTTATTAAGCAGTCAGTGAATTCATTTTATGCCCACTTTGGCATCCTCTTTAATTATCTCTTTACTTGATATGGATATGGATAAACTAGTTTGGAGTTAGTTGTCTTCAGAATGCTATAAATTGTATCCCAAAGGTAAAAGCCTAAGGAAATGTGGCCCCTAGAGCATTTGCTTAGTCAGCAGAACCTAGTATTACTGCTTTATGAATTATTCTTCAGCTTCAACACAATTCATATTTATACAGCTGCAGACAGAACATCCTCAATTAGTGATTGGCAGTTTCAAAGATTCTTTGTAGGCATTCCCCCATCACAACCCCTTTGCATTGGATGGTCATTTATGTTACCCAAGGTGTAGGTCGAAGGGAGGAGCTCTAGAATGGGAAACCAGGAGTGTTCTTTGGTGGGGGGGGAGGGGGGAGGGATTGTCTCCCAGCATGGAAGCTGAGAGAGAGTTGGAAACCAGCTATTCCTTAGATGCCTGAGAGGAAGAAATTACTTGTATGGTTACTAGTGCTTAAATCAACCACAGGAGAAAGGGAAACTGCACCAGAGGAGAGAAAGGGTTTTAGTCCAGAGATGTTAATGGTCTCTTCTAGATGCTTTTGGAGTCCTGTCATTCGACTGCTATATTATCATATTAATTGATCTTCTCATTTAGCACCCTACAACAACCCATATTCCCTCAGACAGGATTGATGTTCTCAGCATTCCTGACGTGGGGTTGTCCCTCTGCCTCAGCACACGTGCAGGACTAGCAGGTGATGATAATGGTTTTCACTGATAGACATGACAAGATGTTGCTTTCAGATTAGCCCACTGACAGATTCAAATGGTGAGTGCTTAAGTCTTGTTCAGCTTCTTTGAAACCATGTTAGGCTTTGATGCAAAACCAAAGTCTTGCTTCGGAAAGCTGTCAGCTCAGAGTGTGCTGCTCTGATAACTTCATTTATATTAAAATAAATCTGCCACTTTCTTCAGTTTAAATCACCAAACCTTTTTGTCTTAGCTGCAAGGAGGACTTAGATTACAATAAGTGTCTGTCTTCTAAAGTATTTCTGATATGAATGGATTCTGTGCGATTCGCAACTTCTCATCAGAGCCAAGCAGTTAATACAGATCACAGGTTCAAATCCATGTGCCCGAGTTCCTCATGAAAGTCTTTATATTCTTTCTGCCCCTGATAAAACTTGATGATGCTGAGACATTCTATTTTGATTCTCAAATTAAAAAGAAAAACCTAGTGAATGATGAAGCATAATCTGTCAGTCACTTGGCTTTCTCCTGAATTATGTATTTATGTTCAAGGATTGATGGTAGAATTGGTTGACTTTTTACAAGCGTGATTAAAAGAGTATGTGGTTTGTGTCCTAAACAGGATTTGCAAAGCTTTTAGTGTGTTTGAAGACAAATTTGGATCCAAACTGAACTGTCAAATTGTTTTTTGTTTTGGTTTTTTTTCTCTTGTGCAGACTTGAATATGTTCTGAGAATCGAACTGAACTTAGACTGCTTAATGGAACATTGGTCATTGCTTTCCAAAAGTCAGACACCATGCTCTTTTGTTATGTGGCTAATATTGACCCCCCGCCCCCAATCTACCTTTATCTGGGAATGCAGAAGGACTCTGGTAAAGCCCTTTGGTCTTCTCTCTTTACAGGTTTGTTGATTGGCGCTGGCTGTGCCCTCTACCCATTGGGCTGGGATAGTGAGGAGGTTCGGCAGACCTGTGGCTATATTTCTGACCAGTTTGACTTGGGTGAGTTCTTTTACTAAATGCCACTCCTTCTAGAAAAGAACCTTATCTGATCATTCATAGAAACAGAGGTGGAAAAGGTTGGGGAAGAAAAACACATCTCTGTCCTGCAGCCATCGGTCATATATAACAACACACATACATTCATTTACCCATTTATTTCGTGAAGAGTTATTGACAATCTGATATTTACTGGCACCATGGTAGGTAGTGTAGAGCAAAGATACAAAATGGACCCTGTCCTGAAGAGTTTGATTTATTATTCATTTAAAATCATATGTTGACTGCTTGTTGCATATGCTAAAAATAACTGTGGAATTCAGTATATCTGAGAAGATCAAGCAAACAAAACATTCACGGAAATGGCAGTAAAGGCTAAGAAATCGAGAGCAGTTTCCCTCCAAAGGCAAAAGTCAACTTTGTAAGAGGAATGAGAGGCAAGTAGGGTCTTGAACAAAGTGATATGGGTAGGTTATCTGACAGTACCCTCGCTGGGAATACAGAATAGCAAGGGGATAAGGGAAGATGAGAAGCCCTCTTGGGGGACCATACAGATTTGAGAAGCAAACAAGATGCCTTTGAATAGCTGGATGAAGGACTTCTCTTGACTTTGTTTTTCTGTAAACTTGTCAGAAACTTCACATATTTTCTACTTGTGACCTCGGTGTATTCTCCTTAACAATCTATAAAAAATTTGCATAATGCTGCACGGTTTGCAGTAATACTTTGTAGACATTGAGGAATAATTTCTCTTAGTTGACAAACCAACATTTACTTAACTACATATTTCTTTCTAGTTGGATTTTTAGTCTGTTCCAATTTCTGTTAAGATATATTGTAACGAGTAGTTTAATGAATATACATCTTTACTTAATTATTTTCTTAGGATGTTTTTCTGGAATTGATGTTATTACATCTGAGACAATGAGCTCGTAAAGTACTGATTGTCGAATGAAAGCAAATTTATCTTCCCTCAATACATCAATGAGCAGCTTTGGACAATTAGTGTGTAGTGAATTACTAAAATATCCACTTTTCACATTAAATATTTCACTCTAAGAAGAAAAAATTTCAAGATGTTGTTGTCCCAGTGGTAATATCGTTGTGTCCCAAATCATGTTTTAAATGTTTATGCTTGAGTGTCTGTGAAGAAAAAAAATGTCAGATACTGAGGAAAACTAAGCAGATTCAATATAATACCAAGGGTCTGTGAATTTGAAAAAGAGGCAATTTTTGTCTTGGCTTGTGGAAGACAAGCACTTTGTTTCACTCAGATTAACACTAGCCTTTTGGGTAGAGAAAACCTCTGAACAACACCTACTTTGCATGAATAGAAAACAGGAGATTTCACTTTGCCCTTTCTTCCTCCTGGTGACAGTCTCTCTGAAGCCTATCCTCAGGGAAGATCCTGAGCGTACAGTCAGCACATTTTCCTGTTTTTTTGTTCTGTTGTTGTTGTTGACAGGCACTGTGTCGGGGGAGATGTTTCATTACAGCCTTTGGCATTTTTCATTCTCTGTTGTTTTGAGGCCGTCTTGGCTGTTTCGCACAGACTGTTTCACACAGGCCTCAACTTGATTATAGACCAGTGTTCTTACTGAGCTCTTGCTGTGGTGTGTTGCTATATTAATTAGCAAGTTATAATGAATCTCAAATCTTATTATTTGTGATTTTCATTACTGTACCTCAATGTTTTTATATCTTCTGAGCAGTATGGACCAAAATTTAATGTCAGCTGAATCTTAGGAGAGAACACTTGTCTCTTTCACAGTGGTACTAATTTATGTCTATAAGCAGAAAAGTCTTTTTTGATGCTTGCCATTCTTTAAAAAGAATGTCTCTTAGATTGAATGAAAAAAGGGAGAAAAATGAAAACTGGCGTTTTATACAGATTAAATGAGGTCTAGTCCTCTGAATGAGCACTTGGGGTTCCTAGAGTTCTGTTTCTCCAAGTTACTGTTATTTCTGTAAACTCCGGTCTTTTGTATTTATTTATTTATTAATTCATATGGAACTGGGGTACAAGCCAGAGGTGCATGGGCTGTGAGAGGATTCACCAGAGACAGAGTGGGGAGCAGAACAGGCTGACTCACGAAGTACACTGCTGAGGGGAGTAGTGGGCAGGTCAGGCGAGGTCTGTTGCACCTTGTGAATCATCTCCAGGGCCGGGGATCAAACTCATGCTCAAGTGGCTGTGATCGGCTTGCAGTGCTGTATCCTAACCCTTTGCACTGCCAGGGAGGCCCAGACTCTGGTCTTTACTTTAGAAAGAAGATTGAAAGAGAAACTGGGGCAGAGAGATTGTCAGGCCTATTCCACCCACTTCCTGTGTTTTCTGTCTTAACATTCTTACAGTTCCCTCTGAACACTATAGCTGAACTTCAGGGAATGAGTGACGTCCAGAGCAAACTTGGCAGAAAACCTCAGATTAGATTTGGGAGCCATATCATACTCCTGAGGGGAAGCATTCTCAGCAAGGCTAGCTCTGGGGCCTATTTTTAGTGGCATCTACTGTGCCTCTGCCTCTTCTGGAATTCCAGTGTATTTCTGCCTCCTCTCTGAGGAGATAGTATGTGGGCTTCCTCCCATGTATCAGAGAATGTTATGAAAACTCAGATCCTCCTTATTGTAGAAAATGGGTTCCTTTCTTTCCATGTCATTAATGAAATATTGTTTCACCCTTTATAGCACATCCTGAAAGAAATAATTGCTCTTGTTCCCAAATGGAAGATTATTTAAGGAGTATATTCCTTCAGTTATACAGTCAGCAAATGTTGAGGTGCTTGCAATGGGCCAGGCCTGATGCTAGAGGCTGTGGTCATGGCTTCAGCAATGAGTTTGGTTAAACAGACACTCTTCACTGCCCTCAGAGAACCTAAAGCCTAGCAGGAGTGTGTTCTTACATAAAGGACTATGGTGATGGTGCACGGGTAAATTGGTGATGGGAATTTTGCAGGAAACTACACCTCAAAGGAGAACGCATACACTGCAAAGAGTGAAAGAATGATGTTCTCACACACACACACATACACATATATATTTCATATATGTGTGTCTATGTATATTTCATATATAGGTATATTTCATTTATATGTATATTTCATGTATGTGTGCATATGTGTGTGTATATATGTGTGTATATGTGTATACACACACACACATATAAAATAACATTAAAAAAAACTAGCAGGAGAAGCAGATGTTCAAGAACGTAATGCCCTTGGGAAGATATTCAAAAGGGAAAGTGCTGGGCACTGAGGAGTGGCATTGTGAGTGCCCTCCACCCCTGCCTAGCCCTGAGTCTATGCCAGAGTTTGACAAACATTCTATAAAGAGCTAGATAGTAACTATTTTTAGCTTTACAAGCCTTGCAGTCTCTGCTGCAGCTACTCAGCTCAGCAGTCATCGCGTGAGAGACAATTCATGTCAGAATGGTTGTGACTATCCCAATAGGATCTTTTTTTCTTTTCTTTTTGTACTTTTTATAAAAACAGCTCGTGGCTCTGTAGTTGGAGGATCCGTGATCTCTACCAAATTATATGCCTGACATGCCAGAAATGTGTTCATATCAAATGTCAGTTGTTTTATATCTTTTCACCCTTGGATACTGGTCAGGACTGGGGCCACGCAGCACTCTGTACTGAGCAGCCCCATCCAGCCAATACACTGTGTAAATATTACAATTTTCTTCTTGCATGTTGTTCTCACATAAGGTATCCGTGCTGTGACTTAACCTTGGCCATCCCACCTCCTAACACTAGCATGGCATGAAAAGTCTTAAGGGTATTTGGGCCAGTGGGTCTAAAGATGTTATCAGAGGCTTCTGAGGAAGATGAGAGACAAGCCCAAGAGAGACCCCAGAGTCATGTTCTCCCTCCATTCCAGGTGGAATGGCTGGAGGGAGCAGCCATTGGGGTGGTGTGGGCAGAGCAAACAGCCTTCCCTAGAATGAGCCTTCCGAGGAATTTCCAGCCTTGCTGACACACAGAGATTTATTTCCTCACTGGGATTAGCTGAGGCATGTTTTCTCTTCCTTGCAGCTGATAGCAGCCTGGATGGTGTTTTATTTAGTTGTGTATAACAATTTAAGAAGACCTCATAGAGGGTTTCTAAGGAAATATTTTTAGCTGCACCTTGAAGGCTTTAAGAGATTTAGGTAGAGCGATTGCATGTGGTGTGTTTTGGGATGGCTTGGTGGGATAGGTTTCAGGGAGGGCAGGAAAGGAAACCAGGAAGAAGCCAAAGCAGACATACTGGAGAAGGTAAGTATTTGGGGGTGGGGGGTATAGTAAGGGGCAAGTTTTTCCAGAGAAAGATCATGTAAACTGAGTTCACAAAATGTAAGTAGTAGTTAGGCAAGGAAGAGCTTCATTAAAAGCTTGCATTGTGGTTGTAATGTAATGTAGTGTAGTGTGAGTCTCATAGAAGCTTCTTTTATAAATGCCCTCTTTCCTTAGAAAGATTTAGGGAAAACCTTTTTACAAGCCTTATAAACAATTTTATAAGACTTATTCATTATTTTTCAAGCAGTTTAATTTTATTAAGTGCAGAGCTTTGAAGCAGTTTTGCAAAAGGAGATCAAAGATTGTTACTCCGCTTACCTTTAGATCACACTTATTTATGAAGAAGCAAAGAGCAGATATGAATTCTCACTTTTAAAGCAGGAGTCTAAACAAGCTGCCTAATGAGTTTCTAAATCCCCTAGCCAAAATTGCATAGGTTGCATGATGGTGGCTTTTACCCTTTAGCATGAGAATTAGAGAGACTTGTTGAGAATATTGAAATTTTAATTTCTATGCCCCAGAAATTATGATTCTCTCATGTGTGCTTTAAACAAGTCCCCCAGGTGTTTCTGGGGCAGGCAATCAGCATCCAAACTTTGAAAAAGAACCGCCCTAGTTATCAAGAAAAGTAATTTATTTTATTTTTTTAGAGTTGAGTTTAACAATGATTCATTTTGTTTTATATGAATTATGCTTTCTTTGCTTTAAATGACAAATACC